GGGGTAGGGGGTGGGCACAAAGGGTGAAGGGGTGCACCTATAACACGACTGACAGACAATAATGTACAACTGAAATTTCACAAGGTTGTAAACTATAATAACCTCAATAAAAAATAAAATAGAAAAAAAACCATACAAAGAAAATATGGAAAATATATTAGGGATGTCATGACTGAAAAGAGAAGTTGAGGGCTGGCCCGGTGGCACAAAGGTTGGCTTTGCGTGTTCCACATCGGTGGCCCGGGGTTCACCGGTTCGGATCCCAGGTGGGGACCTACGCACCACTTGTCAAGCCATGCTGTGGTGGGTGTCCCACATATGCAGTGGAGGAAGATGGGCACGGATGATAGCTCAGGGCCAGTCTTCCTCAGCAAAAAGAAAAAGAGAGAGAGGATTAGTGGCAGACGTTAGATAATGTTCCTCAAAAAAAAAAGAAAGAAAAGAGAAGTTGCGTGAGTCACTTCAGAAGAAGGGTTGGTTTTCTCTTCACAGAAACTGAACTGGAATTACGAAAGATGTATTCAAATGTTGCTGTGGGCAGCGGAGCAGTGGTTTCCAGCACATCCACTTGCTTGCCTCCAGAAGCCTCTGCGGGCTCTGAGCTGTTTTTCGTATGGAAACTCTAGGTGATACGCTCCCCAGTGAAACCATCCTGCTGTCTTTAATAGAATAGGAGTCAGTGGTTTAGGTCATGTAGTTTGAGCCAACCAGTGAGTTAAGAATTAAACTCTTCATCCCATCATTAGGAAGCTGACAAAGGTCACTGCAGGGAGTGGAGCTTCCGTCCTGGGACCTACAGGATGAAAAGAGGGCTCTGCACAGCCAGGCGTCTGCCCGTCTCCGCCTGCCTCTCCCCAGCTCTCAGCTCTGCTCAGCTCCACATTCTCCTGCCTATGCTCTCTGCTCCACGACCCAAAGGCAGGTGCCCTGCTCTCCAGCTTTAATTCTGATGGGCTGGATATAGATGCAAAACTGCTAAACACACACAGACGCCCAGACCCTGGAGCACCAAAGGATTAAGAGTGTGGTGAAGGGGAGTGGGCGAGGCTAAAGATGGAGCTAATCAAATTCAGCATCTTTACTGATTTTTAAATATTAACCCCATTGATTTTTAAATACTCTTTAAAATAGTAATATAGTCATGTGACCGCTTACATAACATGATGATAAACATATCTGTCACCACCTGTTATGGATGGAACTCATATGTTGAAGTCCTAACCCCCAGCACCTCAGAATGTGACCTTATTCAGAAACAGGGTCGTTGCAGATGTAATTAGTTGAGATGAGATCCTACCCGAGTAGGGTGGACCCTTAATCCCATATGACTGGTGTCCTTATAAGAGAGGAGACGATGTGAGGGCAGACGCACGTCGGCGGCTCTGTGGCCACAGAGGCAGAGACTGCAGTGGTGCATGTACAGGCCCACGATGGCCGGCCAAGACCAGAGCCTAGAAGAGGCAAGAAAGGAGCCCCTGCCACAGGCTTCAGAAAGCAGGGCCCTGTCGACACGCTGATTTCTGACTTCCAGCCTCCAGAATGGTGAGACAAGAAGTGTCCGTTGCTTTCAGCCACCTAGCCTGTGGCATTTTCTTACGGCGAAACGAATACAGCATCCACGAGTCCACATCGTGCTGAGTGAACAGGCACAAGCGCGAGTGGTGGCCGAGCAAAGGTGGGAACAAGTCAAGTCCGCCCCGACGTGTAACCTGCTCCAGAGGCAGCGACCTCACAGTGAGATGAGAGAAGTGAGACGTGTGAAAACTGAAACGAGGACTTCAAATTGTCATTCCCTCCAGATCATGTGATAGTTTACTTAGGAAACCTAATCTCCTTACCAGAAAACTAACTCAGAAATTGTTAAAAACTAGGAGAATTAAAAACTTCAGCTGAACACAAAACCAATACACAGAAACCGATATATTTCATGTATAAAAACAAATTAAAGGTAAAAAGGAAGGAAAATATAACAGCAAACAAAGATAAATACAAAATAGGTAGATTTTACCTAACAAGAAATGCATGAGGACGACATGAAGAGACATGTTAAGAGGTGCTGAGGGCATGAAGATGTGCACCACACCCCCGCCAGGAGGCTCAGGATCAGGACCGGCCGACCACACCCCCGCCAGGAGGCTCAGGATCAGGACCGGCCGACCACACCCCCGCCAGGAGGCTCAGGATCAGGACCGGCCGACCACACCCCCGCCAGGAGGCTCAGGATCAGGACCGCCGCTGAGCTCCAGTTCATCTGCATCGTTAATGACTTTTTTTTTTGGTACAGCACAGAATTACGGGAGAAAAGCCAGAAAACTCTAAAAAGAAAGAGTAAAGAAGGAAGACAAATCTCTCCAGGCATTAAATATTGTAGGAACCAGAGCTGGCCCTTAGAGGAGGCAAGCCTTCCTCCCCCCGCCCCATGGCCTCTGCACTCTGCACACCGTCCCTGGGGCGGGCACTGCTGTCATCTGTTTGTGCCCGACTTTCCAAGCAGACACTGTGCCGCTGGCTCCAGGGCTCACTCCTGTCTACACATCCAGTGCCCAGGAGTGCTGGACCACAAAAGGAGCACGATAAATAACCCAAGGATTGACTCCTCTGCGCACCCTCCCTCTTCCTGACTGGCTGCGGGCGGCAGGCCCGAGGGCACGGTGCCAGAGCCTCCAGGCCGGGTCGCAGCGTCTGTCGTCAGCTTGCTCTTGCAGGAAGAGCTGCCTCAGGTGTCATCTCCGTTACACCTCCAAACCTGGAAAGCAGCGAAGTCAGTGAGCTGCTCTGCTCACGTCATAGGAGATCTATGGGTTTTGTGGAAATGAGTCAAGGAAAACCTCGCTGAAAATGGAGCAGGAAGCCCTGAAGGGGAAGCTCACTCGCACGTCCCACTCGCACGTCCCACTCGCTGCAGCCGCCCCACCAGCAGGAAGAAGGAAGGGAACCAGGTCTGTTTGTTTCAAGTTCTGTGTACAAAATGCTCCGGGTCTCAACCTCTTTTCCGTGGGGACAGGAATGTTACTTTCCTTCTGGTACAGGAGGACATTTGTCACAAGGCAATTTCATCTCCCGCTTTTAAGAAAAGGAAGGGAGACCCCTGCCTGCCCCAGCAACAGCGCACCGAGCACCGCGGCCTGCAGCCGCTGAGGACGCGCCACGACCTCAGCTCCCGTCCTCTGGTGAACTCTTGCCCACACCCCCTCCCGGGTGTCCTCCCAAAACCTAATAAAAGCCGACCTCCCCTTTGTCTCTTCACACTTGCCTGTGGTCCACCGTAGTCTACTTGTCCCGAACTGCAATTCCTCTGCTACTCCCAAATAAACTCGTTATTTTTTGAACTTGCCTCAGTTTACCTCTCTATTTAGGTTCACAGCTCTATGGCAAGTTGCTCTCCCAGTCAGCTCCCTTCCCGCCTTACAGTGGCCTAGCTGCCCAGCATCCCTCCCCAGCTGGGGGCGCTTTGGCAGTACTGAGCTTCTGTCCCACACCCTCAGGAGGACAGACAGCCCCCCTGAATCCTGGAAATCCCCACCACCCACAAACCTGCTGTGATGCCCAGAAGCCCCACCCTCCTGTGTGTGCCTGTTAAAATGCTCGTGTTATGGGAAGGTCAAGGGATCACTGACCATTAGCCACTTATCCTGAGCTGTCTTAGCAGCTCCCAAATCCACAGGGGCCTGAAGCAATGGGACACGCAGAGCTGCCGACGACCGAGGGCTCGTGTTCACGCCCAAGCTCACTCGCAGACACAGCACAGTTCCCACCAGGCTGGGGCACGTGCACCCGACTCTCGGGATTCCCTTTCCTCAGGGGTAAAATGAAAGCATGACTTGAAGTGGCTCTGTGGTCGTCCCCAGCCCCTTGACCACATGAAGTTTTAGCACCGTCTCCCTTGGGTGATGAGCTGAATGACGTCCCCCCGCCCCCCATGTTTACTGACCTGTAAGCTCTCTGAACCTGTCACTTAGGGGTTTTATGAAGGTTCCATCATGCAGCCATGTTCAATTAAATCACTGGTTATTGGTGAATGAACTCAATCAAGCTCCAGCCTCTCTCCCCTCCCTGAAGGTCTGGGGTGGGGCTGAAAGTTCCAACCCTCTGATCACATGGTTGGACCCCCTGGCCACCAGTCCCCATCCTGAAGCCATCCAGGGGCCCCACCTGGAGTCACCTCATTGCATAAATCAGGTAGGGTTGAAATGGGTTTGTTATGAATAACAAAAGAAGCTCCTCTCCCCCATGTCACTGAGGAAACTCCAAGGGTCCTAGAAGCTCTGTGCCAGGAAGCAGGCACAAAGATAAAAGACATATTTCTTATTATATCACAAACGCTCACAGCCATTCTGCTTGGTACGCATAATTATTATTGACACCCCCACTCTACAGATGAGGAAATTAAAGTTTAGATGATAACCACAGTGTGCGCTATAGCGCCTGTTATGTGTGAGCAATGGTTCTGGGTAGACTGTGGAGAGTGTTCCAAATTACACTGTAATTATACTGCAGCCCCTGTACAGTCACATGCGATGTGTGAAGTGCTCCTCCGTAATCTCGGAGCCTTATGTCAGTACGTGCTGTGGCATCACATAGCACACCCACTAAACGTTTTCTTCCTGCAATAACCCCATGTGGAGAGAACCATCATTACTGTGATTAGACCAGTGAGGAGACTGCACTAGGGAAATAACGCGCCCACCAACTCCCCGCGGGAGGCAGCGCCGAGTGCTGGTCCAAGGCTGCGCAGCCCCGGATCCTTTGCTCTCAACGCTACCCGAAACCGCCATCCTCCATGAGTCCCAGGCCGGAGCGTGGATCTGTCTCAGGCCCTTAGTCACTGGGCTTCCCACCACATCAAAGAAACTTCTCCAGTTTTACGGTATTCTCTCCTTACTTCAGTTTAAAATGTTTATCCCTCAATCACTTATTAAAATACCAGCTTCACATTTCCTAGATTCTGAATCCTGTATTTGACCAAAGATGTCATAAAGTTAAAGACAAACGGTGAAGGATACATTTGTGAAAAATTCTCATTTTATATAAGAAATTATTAATATCCAAAAGGTGTACAAAGCTCCTAAAAACTAACAAGCAGATAAGAAGACAACGTATTCACTATCTGTTGCCATATGTATAACAAGAGGCTTCAAACAACAGACACCTGTTATCTGAGTGTCCGAGGATCAGGAACGTGGGAGCGGCTTAGCGGGTGGTTCTGGCTCAGGGTCTCTCGGGGGCTGCATCTGAACCACGGGCAGGAGCTGCAGTCATGAGGCTTGCCCGGGTCTAGAAGACTCACGCCAAGCTGGTCCTCGGCCGCTGGCTGGAGGCTTCAGTTCCTGGCCACAAGGCCCTCCCTCATGATGTTGAAATTGGCTTCCCCAGAGCAAGTGATGAGACAGGGAGAGAGCCGCAAAAGCAAAGCCACAGCCTCTTATAACCTAGTCCTGGAAGAAATACACCACCCCGTTGCCCTAAGCTGTTGGTCACACAGACCGATCCTGGTACAGTGTGGGTGTGAGCAGCAGACCACGGGATAGGGGCATCTTGGATGCTGGCTGCCACCAACACAAAAATAGTTATCCATACAGAAAGGTATTCGTCTCTGCAGAGACTGGGAAATGCAAATCATAACAATAAGAACCCATTTCTCCCCTGTCAGATTGGCTGAAACTTTAAAAGTTTGATATTTTCTGTCAGTGACACAATGTAGGCAGGCAAGTAGCTTGTGCCTTGTCCTGGAAGTGGACATTGAAGGACAATTTGCAGTGACCTCTAGGTATTTCTCCTGAAGAACACTGACGCATGTTCATGTGACTTATGTTCAAGGGTGCTCCGGGAAGAACCGTTTGCTGTAGGAAGAGAACAAACACACAGAAAGAGGGATTGGCAGAGTGGTTAAGTTCATGCATTCCACTTCTGCGGCCTGTGTCCTGAGGTTTAGGTCCCTGGGGCGGACCAAGCAACACTCAAGCCATGCTGTGGGGGCATCCCATACGCAAAATAGAGGAAGATGGGCACAGATGTTAGGTCAGGGACTATCTTCCTCATTAAAAAACAAAAACAAAAACAAAAGCAAGAAAAAACCCCAGAATGCCCAGGAACGGGGAATTGTTATTTCATAGCATATCCACACTACATGTTGCCAAGTGCAGAATGCTCCACGTCAAATATATGTATCTTGTGATCCAACTTAAGTAAAACAATTTTTTAAAATCTTTTGGGCAGGTAATACACACACATGAAGTTAACTGTGAAAGCACAGGAAATGTGTGTCTTGTTCACAGCTCAACCCCAGGACTGGAAGCAGCACCATCCTGGATAAAAAGGGTGCCCCCAAATAGCAGAGTATAGACACAGATGTCTACAAAGACACATGCTCGATTATAGAGGAGAACAACGGCATGATGAGGGAACCTTCGTGTGTGTGTGTATTATAAATAAAACAATTGCGGACCCAACTCTTGTGGTTTATGTCTTTCTAATGACCGGTCACAGTCAACTAAATAAAAACCATGAGACTGACCGGTTTTTCAATCCCAAATTCAGTACGAAGAAGGAAGACAGAAGAGGAGGAAGAGAAGGAGAAGGGGGAAAAGACAAGGAAAAAAGAGGGAAAAGGCCCCTGTCTCTTCTTTGCTCCTGAAAAGCGAAGGCCCACCCGAGTTGGGTCACCGTGAGTCCATGCACACGGGTGCGCACGAGCCAAGATGTTTCCACAAGAGGGCGCAGGAAAGAGGCCTCGGACTCGCTCGGTTGAACTCAATCCTGCACCTCTAAGTGAAAAAAAGAGAGAAGGAAACAGAAGCCCCGCCGGGCGCCCCGGGGCGCGGGTCCAGGGGCCTGTGTCCGAGGAGGCCGCCAGGTGGACCCCGCGCGGGGACTCCGGGGACCGGGCCCGCGTCCCCCGGCGCGTCGCTCCCGCCACCCTCCCGCAGCCCGGCCGTACAGATCGGAGCAGCCGGGTCAGCGCCGCGAAGGGAACCCGGGCTCCGTGGGGAACCGCTCCCCCATCATCTTCTAGCCGGCGGGCTAGACGCACGACGATTTTGAACCCGATCGCGAAAGCGCCCCGAAGCGTCTGCGGCGCTCCGGCGGTCACAGCAAAGTAAAGCCGGTGGAAATCTCACCTTTCGCCAAACTCGGGGCTCAAGGTATCGACTTATGACTCCTCCGGGAGGAACGCACGGCCTCGCAATTTGTTGAACAAGCGCCCGCAGCTCGTGGCTCCCCTCGCGTCGCCATTTCCCGGAGTGCGCTTGTTCCGTCTGAGCCGGTGGTGGACGCAACGCCCGCGCAGCACCTGAGCGGCTTGCGCCCCGGAACCCGCGCGGCACAGGCGATCGCGCTGTTGTCACCCGGGTCCGTCCGCCTCCAGGGCCTCTGCGCGCATCCCTGCCAGGCTGCGGGCCTAATGAGCTGGACTCCTCAGGATACCTTTGGCCACCACTGCGCAGGGTCACTTCTTGGGCCCCGGCCCTGGAGGCGCGGAGAGGGCGGCTCCCCAGCGTCTCCCCAGGAGGCGGCGCGCGCAGGACACTACTTTTTAAAAAGTCGTTCAGCCTTTGAGCCAGCAAGCCACTTTAAATTTATAAGAGTACACGACTGCTAGCGACCAGTAAGGCCCGACTTTGCTGACAGCTCATAGCGCACAACGCCCCACTCCCACTACCAGGAGTACCGGGGTGCTCTTGGCCCTCCCCATCTTGGAGAGCGAGGGGAGGTGCCTTCCCAGAAGACCTAACGACCCACGGAGTTCGGGCGGGAGAGTGACCCTCAGGCTTTATAGCCCCTCCCTGCCGGGCAAGTTTCCTTTTGTCCCACATTAAAATACAATGGTTGGGGGTGGGCGAGGTGAGTGAAGGTAGACAAAAGGTACAAACGTCCAATTATAAGATAAATATGTCCTGGGGATATACTGCACCGCATGGTGACTATAGTTAATACTGTACTGTGGGCCGGCCTGGTGGCGCAGTGGTTAAGTGCACATGTTCCGCTTTGGCAGCTGGGGGTTCGCTGGTTCAGATCCCGGGTGCAGACACGGCACCGCTTGTCAAGCCATGCTGTGGCAGGCGTCCCACATATAAAGTAGAGGAAGATGGGCACGGATGTTAGCTCAGGGCCAGTCTTCCTCAGCAAGAGAGGAGGCCTAATCTTCCTCAAAAAAGAAAAAACTTGAAAGTTGCTTAGAGAGTAGTCCTTAAAAGTTCTCATCACATAAAAAAAATGTGTAACTGTGTGGTGATGAATGGTAACTCACTCACTGTTGTAACTAAAGGTATTTCTCAATATATACATGTATCAAACTGATGAGGATTTTAGGCTGGTTAATTTTAAAAAACTGCAGATGAGAAGCAGGCTCCGAGGACTGGAATTTTGCTTGCCCTTTTGAGAGACATTTGCATTTGTGAAGGAAGGGGGGGTGAGCTTGTAGGGACCTGAAATTGGCCGCCCCAAGATATGTCTCTTTGGCATCGGGATTGTTTTGGGCTGATTGCTTTTGATAAACTGGGACAGGGAAGGAGGCTCTGGGGAATGGAACTTGCCCTTGTTGGGACACATTTACATTTGTAAGGTAAATTTCTATCTGTAAAAGGTGCCTCCCTCTCTGTACCAGGAAGAAGAAGAGAGATGACCTTGTCCCTAGAAACTCTTAATGGGGAAGGCAAGAACTTAAGTTGGTTGCTGTCTGGCAATCTCATGTAACTGATTTAGGGTGGCGGCTTCTGACCTTTACTTAATCCGATTTGATTCTTGTCTAAAAGTCATGGGATCACCCAACCTGCACTGATACCATTTTAACTTTTTTTCATGTTCTTTCCTTTGTCTTGTAAAGAAATGATTCACGTACCCGTGCCTTATAAAATTAGCCCTAACCCTCAACTCGGAGCAGCCGTGCCTTATAAAATTAGCCCTAACCCTCAACTCGGGGCAGCAGCAGGAGCTCTGACTGCCCGTGGGTCCTGTCCCCATGCACCAGCTCTGCCTGCCCATGGACCCTGTCCCCATGCCAGCGGGGGCAGCAGAAGCAGCGGCAGCAGAAGCTCTGACTGCCCATGGGTCCTGTCCCCATGCTATTCTAGTCTCTAAATAAGAGAGCACTACTACCAGATCTTGAGAGTCCAAGAAATCTTTCTTTCGACTCCTTGGCTCACCGACCCCGCATCAAAACCATCGTGTCATACAGCTAAAGCTAATGCTATGACATATGTCAATTATATCTCAATAAAAAAAATACAGTGGAGTCTGAAAAAGTTTGCGTATGCACCCAAATCACCTAAAGCAGTGGTCCTCAAACTTTTGTTGTGTTTGAGAAATCATCTGGGGAACTCATGAAAAAGGAAGGTTTCTTGGCTCTAGGAAGCCTTGGCATTAATGGAAACCCCAGGCAGTTTTGATGGAGTGGGTTTCCACTGCATTTTGAGATACTGACTGACAGTAGTGCTAAAATGCAGAGTCAAAAGGCTCTTCTCGCCCAGCATTTCCCATTGGGCAGGTTTGCAGAAATGGTGGGGAATCAGCATTTTTGTTACACACACGATTTGGATACAATACAGGAATTCCACAGACGGCTCCTTAAGAACTCAGGGTATAATATGGTTACTATCTTTCACATTTTTTAAAATTGAAAGTCAAAGAAAGAAATACATTTAACATGATATCTAGTTCATTTGCATTTATGTGTATGTAGATATGCATGTACGTATAAAATAGGAACAAATTTTAGGAAACAATACTTACCCTGACAGAGTGTGATGAGAAAAAGTAGCCCCTCTGTAACCAGAACTTTGTCACCTCTTCTAAAGGTTAAAAACACAACAAAAGATTCCTTACATCTTCCCTCAAGGCCCAGCTTCTCTTTGTTGTGCTGAATAAAGCTGGGACTCCTCTAACTCTTTTAAATGTATATCTGATCGCTTTTCAAATGCATATTTCACCTTATCTATGCTTATTTAGGGTGGGTTCAAAACGTGTTCTACTTGAATAGCTCTTCAAAGGCAGGTTGTTGTTTACTTCTGAGGACTGCCCCGGCTCCTCCTTTTGGGGTAGAAACCCAAACCAAAACTATTTCTGGAGGTGGGTGTCTCCTCTTCTCAAAAAGAACCCACAGAATTGTGGAGATGAAACAGTCGCAAGGTGCCCAGCTGTCTCTGTCTGGTGGGTATCCTTTTTAGCAGATCCTAGGAAAACGAAAGCCCTGTTTCAGAAACTCTGGAGTCTATGGGCATATTTCCAGAACTAAGACAGTTGGTGCTGACATCTACTCTCCACGAGTCTCTTCCATTAAAAATAATAGTAACTCTGGCGTCGGCCGGCTCCGTTGACTAAGCCATGCACAACCCACAGGGTGGAACACCCAGGCTAAGGCCTGGGGCGGGGGATGGTGGTGAGGTTCCTCCTCCTTCTGTAGTATTCAGCGGGCCCCCCAGGAGCTGGGCTGGTAACAGCCCAGAGAAATTGAACTCAGGGCTTCTTGCAAATGTCCCCAGTAGGAAAGATGAGTGCAAAAGGTCAGCACGGCACTGAGGATTGGCAATGTTTCTGGAAGAGGAGGGAGACGGAAGGCTGCACTGCCCTCAAATTCACAGAACCCAGTGAGGATCTTTAGGGTTTTTAAATTAAACTTTTTTTATTTTATCTATTTTTTTATTGCAGTAACATTGGTGTATAACATTATATAAATTTCAGGTGTACATCATTATATATTTCGGTTTCTGTTGTTGACGAAAATAATCCATAACCAATCTATAAATGACAATTTGGGTGAGTTTATTCTGAGCTTAAATCTGAGGATTATAACCCGGGGCCTTTATTCCCAAAGGAAGAAAGGGCACCGAAGAAGTGGGGTGCACAGCCTGGTTATATACCCCCAGAGAGGATGTTTCACAGGATTGAAATGTCCCTTTTACAATAGTCGCGAGACTGCTCTGTCGGCACAGCGATTGATGGAAACAGCAGGTAGGTCTTCTGTCTCAGTGAACCCCGCAGGGTGGCAGTCTGTTGTCTCCAGCTGAGTGGTCACAGGTGAGCTGGGTGGTCAAAGGTGAGTGCAGCAATCAGTTCCTAGTCTAAGGAAAAATGCTTATCCCTAAGGAAATGCCAATGTGGGGGGAAGTCGAACCTTAATCTCAAGGGCCTTTGTTCTGGCCATAGGAAATGTCTAAGCAGATATACAATGCGTGCTCAACAGCCACAGTCAGGCCCTTTTGGAAAAAACAAAGTCAGGCCGAATTAGGTTTATACCAAATGGCTTCCTCGTATACTCCAATATATCCTATTGCTTGCCATTTCTATTTGTCACTGTGTAGACTACATCATGCTCACCACCCAAAGACTAATTGCCATCCATCACCACACACATGTGCCTACTCACCCATTTCCCCCTCCTCCTTCCCCCCTTCCCCTCTGGTAACCACCAATCCAATCTCTGTATCTATGTGTTTGTTTGTTGTTGTTGTCATTTTTGAGGAAGATCAGCCCTGAGCTAACGTCTGCTGCCAATCCTCCTCTTTTTGCTGAGGAAGTCTGGCCCTGAGCTAACATCCGTGCCCATCTTCCTCTACTTTATATGTGGGACACCTGCCACAGCATGGCTTGACAAGCGGTGCCATGTCTGCACCCGGGATCCAAACCAGTGAACCCCAGGCCACTGAAGCAAAACGTGCACACTGAACCGCTACACCACCGAGCTGGCCCAATGTTTGCTGTTGTTTTTATCTTCTACTTAAAAGTGAGATCATATGGTATTTGACTTTCTCCCTCTAATTTATTTCACCCAGCATAATACCCTCAAGGACCATCCATGTTGTCGCAAATGGCCGGATTTCATCATGTCTTATGGCTGAGTAGTAGTCCATTGTGTATATATACCACATCTTCTTTATCCATTCCTCCCTTGATGGGCACCTAGGTTGCTTCAAAATCTTGGCTATTGTGAATAACCTGCAATGAATATAGGGGTGTATGTATCTTTATGCATTTGTGCTTTCATGTTCTGTGGAAAAACACCCAGCAGTGGGATAGCTGGATCATACGGTAGATCTATTCTTAATTTTTTGAGGATACTCCATATTGCTTTCCATAGTGGCTGCACTAGTTTACTCTCCCACCAGCAGTGTACGAGGGTTCCCTTCTCTCCACATCCTCTCCAATGCTTGTTGTTTCCTGTCTTGTTAATTATAGCCATTCTAACTGGAGTGAGGTGATATCTCATTGTAGTTTTGATTTGCATTTCCCTGATAGTTAATGATGTTGAACATCTTTTCATGTGCCTGTTGGCCATCTGTATATCCTTGTTGGAGAAATATCTGTTCAGATCTTTTGCACATTTTTTAACTGAGTTGTTTCCTTTTGTTCTTGAGATGTATGAGCTATTTGTATATTTTGGATATTGACCCCTTATCAGATATATGGATTGCAAATATCTTCTCTCAGTTGTTAGGTTGTCTTTTTGTCTTGTTGATGGTTTCCTTTGCTGTGCAGAAGCTTTTCAGTTTGATGTAGTCCCATTTGTTCATTTTTTCTTTTGTTTCCCTTGCCCAGTCAGACATGGTACTTGAAAATATGCTAAGACTGATGTCAAAGAGTGTATTACCTATGTTTTCTTCTAGAAGTTTCATGATTTCAGGTCTGACATTCAAGTCTTTAATCCATTTTGAGTTAATTTTTGTGCATGCGATAAGATAATGGTCTACTTTCATTCTTTTGCATGTGGCTGTCCAGTTTTCCCAACATCATTTATTGAAGAGACCCTCCTTTCTCCAGTGTATCTTCTTGGCTCCCTTCTCCAAGATTAGCTGTCCAAAGTTGTGTGGGTTCATTTCTGGGTTCCTGATTCTGTTCCATCTGTGTATCTGTTTTTGTGCCAGTACCCTGCTGTTTTGGTTAGTATAGGTTTGTAGTATATTTTGAAATCAGGGAGTGTGATACCTCCAGCTTTGTTCTTTTTTCTCAGGATTCCTTTGGCTACTTGGGGTCTTTGGTTGTTCCATATAAATTTTAGGATTCTTTGTTCTATTTCTGTGAAAAATGTTGTTAGAAGGAGCTTTAGTTAAAGCTCAGACCCCGAGGCGAGCAGCCAGAGCAGCGGTCCTGGGCTGGGAGACGACTTTTCAGCGGCGAGTGTGAGGCCTGGCAGGTGCAGTTCCACGCCTTCCGCTCTTGCCTTTCTTTAATGTCTGTCATCAACACCGCATGGGGCAATCAACAGGCACAGCCATGCTAGCTTCCTTTTTTAAGGAGATTCCCTGGGAAAACTATTTACTTCAAAAAATTTCCGTAAACATCTGTCGGCCCTAGACACAGAGGGCTGAAATTCTGGTTGACTCAGATTTCCAGTACCTGCAAGCCAATTTGGAGATAAGCATTCACCCCCGAGGCCTCTCCCAGCCATCTATGGGGGAGGGAGGAGCTACCTGGGACCCCAATCCCACCCCCTCCGAGGGTGCCAGGGCCTGCGCGAGCCCCTCTCACCGCCGAGTCCCGGAACCCAAGTTGGTGAGCGGCAGTGGCCAACAGCGGCAGGTGGCCCCGAGGTCTGGCCTCTCGCCATCCCAGCCCAAGGCGCGCTGCAGAGACCAGGTTCTAGACCCACCCTCCTCCGCGGGGGCCGCGTGAGGTCTGTGGGGCGCGTCCCCGGCCCAAAGACAGGGCGCTGGCCAGGCTGGTGCCCAGAAAGGCCCAGCCCGGCCGGGGCTGGGGCGGCCTGCGGTGATGGGCAAGGCCGGCGGCGAGGGTGTGGAGGGCTCTGAAATTCGAGAGACCAGGCTGCGGTCCCTGTCGAAGAGCCTGGAATCCGGAGTGGGGGGGTGGTCAGATGCGCGTGGTGTCCCCAGAAACTCAGCGAATGCCCTGTGGGTCCTTCACTTTTCCAGGCCTTAGTTTCCAAACTCCAGTTAAGGAGATTCATACTGGATAATTTTTGAGAATCTATCAGGCTATTAACTCTGTGTCAGGAAAAAAAATGCTTTTTATTAAAATTATACCAAATAGTTGGAGCAAGCAATAACTGATCCTGAGGCACACAGACTTTTTTTTAAGTGATGCAAAGGATACAAGTAAATTCTAAGCTTGCAAGGAGAGTGAGGAATGTAGAGAAAGAAAATGTGAGAACAAAGTAACATTCAAACTTCTCCCCCTGGAGTGGGAAACCTGGTCATGGAAGCCAAGCAGGAAGGTGCTGTGGCCTCCACGTTAGCTACACACCTGCATCTGTCCGTGTAAGTCCGTCAGCCTCCCTGGGGCACAGCTGGGAGTCCCAGGAAGGCCACAGCATGAGCCAGACTCAGGGCCACCTCTCAGGTGCAGGTTTTAGCTCTTACCACGTGGGAGGTTCAGGAGCCAGACCTTGCGTCTTTCCAGAGCCCACAAGGCAGGCTTTCAGATGTTCTTTCTTGGCAAGCTACTAGAAGCTGCAAGTTTCTGGTTCCCAGACATTGTGCACATCTGGGGGGAGTTTTTACCTGCCCATGTCTCTCCACAGCCTGCTGGTGGCTGAGATGTACCAGGGCCCCTTCCATGACTGCTGGGCTCAGTAACAGGTGGGGGCATTTCCAGCCTTCAACTCCTGTATTAACAATTGTCTATTCTCTGGTCCTGCCAGTGAACCAGCAGCCCACACTTCTCTCTCCTGGGCTTCCCAAAAATGCCAACTGAGCTGTGGCGCCTGTCAAGATCCCCTCAGCCTGATGGGAGCCCTCCGTCAACGTGCTGTTGTATGAAGAGACTCGATAAAGACAGAATGGTCATGACCCTTGTCCAAGTGATGCGGGGTCGGTGAGCCGAGGAGTCGAAAGAAAGATTTCTTAGACTCTCAAGATCTGGCAGTAGTGCTCTTTTATTTAGAAAATAGTGTGGAATAGCATGGGGACAGGACCCATGGGCAGTCAGAGCTCCTGCTGCCGCCGCTTCTGCTGCCCCCGCTGGCATGGGGACAGAGCCCATGGGCAGGCAGAGCTGGTGCGAGGGGACAGGACCCACGGGCAGTCAGAGCTTCTGCTGCTGCCCCGAGTTGAGGGTTAGGGCTAATTTTATAAGGCATAGGTATATGATTCATCTCTTTACAAGACAAAGGAAAGAACATGAAAAAAAGTTAAAATGGTATCAGTGCGGGTGGGGTCTGGTCATTGGGTGATCCCATGACTTTTAGACAAGAATCAAATCGGATTAAGTAAAGGTTAGAAAGGTTAGACACCACCACCCTAAACCAGTTACATGAGATTGCCAGACAGCAACCAACTTAAGTTCTTGCCTCTGGCATTGACCAAGAGCCTCTAGAGATAAGACCATCCCCCCCTCTTCCTGGCACAGAGAGGGAGGCATCTTCACAGATAGAGGTTTCCCTTAGAAATGTAAATGTTTCCCAACAAAGGGGCAAACAAAGTCCACTCCTTGGAGCCTGAATCTCATCTGTAGTTTTAAAACTAACCAGCCTAAAAATCCTCATCATAAGCCATTTTAAAATTAAGCAGCCTAAAAATCCTCATCACAAGCACAGTAAGGGCTACGGGATGGGGTAGGGAGCTCCGCAGTGGGGTCTGGCCATGCAGGAGAGAGATCAGGCTCAACTCTAAATGCAGGAAGGGAAAGTGGGGACTTATAGGCAAGGAGCACGTGGGGGTCAGTGGATGGAAAATTACCAAGAAGAAACCTCAGGGGTGAACATCTGGCTAAAGCCACCAGAGCTGAGGGGATTCCTGCCAGGCGACCAGACCTCCCCGGGGCAGGGGGGTCGGGGGGCAGTGAGGAACCTGCTCAGACAGCTCAAGGGAGATCGGATATCTGGAGGGTGGGCGTTCTGACTCAGCAGGATTCTTGCTACAACTGGACAATGCAGAGATGAACGTGGAAGCCCCAAAGTCAGGTCTCATTGAAAAAACGCTCAGGAAAGCCTGAGTAGAGTTTGCTTGAGGAGATAATCTTTGCCAATAACAGCCCTGCCTTCCCCTAGCAGAATAGAGCAGGAATTCTCAGAGGCAACGGCCACGTGTGCACCCTTCTCTGGGCTGCAGGCAAAAAAGCGTGAGCAACCCTGGCCCACAGAGCGAGGTCCAAATTCTTCAGCCTGCTGTGTGAGTGCCTCCAGCCTCATCTGTGGGTTTGCCACATGGTTCCTTCCAAATTGCAAGTGCTTCCAAGAGGCCTCACCCGTGTGTAAGCCTCTAGGACACCCTTCCCTCCCACTTTTAGGCTTGTGAACCCAAAAGATCTGAACCGGCCATAACCCATGCCACTGTGGAGCCATTCCAGGCTGACCTTGCCGGAGGCCCTGGGCCGCCCGCCTGCTGGCTGCCCAGTCAGTTCCCTTCCACATGCACAGGCCCTCCTTCGCTGTGGGCCTCCCTCCTGGCGGTGAACACCTCTGCAGGGATGAGGCTTCTGCATACCTGTCCTCCAGTGGGGCCTCAGGGCCTCGCCTGGGACGCATTTTGTTCCTCTCCCGGAAAGGGTGTTGCTTTCCTCTTTGCATAACACTCCTTTGTTCACTTAATTCATCTTTGGTTGGGTCTATGAGGTTTCAGGTCTTCCAGAATAAGCACCGCTGCTCACCCTTGAGCCAGGCTGCTCTGAGTGGACACCCAGTAAATGCTAAATTGAATTAACTCAAAGAGGAGAAAGATTAGGACAGCATCTGTTGGCAATTATCTCAGTACTCCAAGGAGACGACGCACCATAGACCAGCAGAATGCAAAGGAGGAGATGGGGGACCTTGTCAATTTGACCAGTCAGGTGTGGCAGAGAAAGGGCAGAAAAAGCTGGAGCTGACAAGTCCCAGTTCTCATTGAAGGGTCTCAAATTTATCTACAAGAGACTGAACAAGAGACTGGAAATAATCATTATAAAACAAGCAGAGAAGTAACATTGCAATGTGTTTCCTAACATTCAGGCCAAGTTCGTGGTGGGTGTTCATGGGTGTTTCCAGGCCTGTGTTAGTCCAGGGGCTGCCGTAACAAATTGCCACAAACTGGGTGACCTGAAACAACAGGAGTTTATTCTCTCACAGTTCTGGGAGCCAGAGTCTGAAATCAAGGCATCAGCAGGACCAGGCTCTCTGAAGACTCCTGGGGAAAATCATTCCTGCCTTCTCTTGGCTTCCGCTGATGGCCAGCAATTACAGTGGTCCTGGCCTCGCAAACACATCATTCCAATCTCTGTCTCTGCAGCCACATGGCCTTCATCCTGCATGTCCATCTTCACATGGCCTGCTTACAAAGACACCCATCACTGGATTTCAGGCTCACACTAATTCAGTATGACCTGGTCTTAACTTGTTTATGTCTGCAAAGACCCTATTTTCAAATAAGGTCACATTCCCAGGAATTAGAGATGAGGACTTAGATATATCTTTTGGGGGGCACATTTCTACCCATTCAGCACCCTCACTGCCCCCCCGATTTGCACATGAAGTAAACTGAGCTGAGGGAATGGGGGTGAAGGGAAATTGGAAAAATCGGAAGGACCAGTAGTTGGAGAGTGTCGGGAAATTCCTGGAATAGGTCATGTGATGTTTAAAAGATTTACTGAAAGTACCTGGAGTGTTCGAGGAATAAGGAGTAATTGAGAAGTCTTCATGTTTAGAGCAAAAATATGTGGTGGCGGGCCTGGCCCCGTGGCCGAGTGGTTAAGTTCGCGCGCTCCGCTGCAGGCGGCCCAGTGTTTCGTTAGTTCGAATCCTGGGCGCGGACATGGCGCTGCTCATCAGACCACGCTGAGGCAGCGTCCCACATGCCACAACTAGAAGAACCCACAACGAAGAATACACAACTATGTACCGGGGGGCTTTGGGGAGAAAAAGGAAAAAATAAAATCTTAAAAAAAAAAAAAAAATGTGGTGGCATCCAGCGTTCGAAAGCAGAAAAGTACCTGAGATACACTAAAATAAGAGGTGTTAAACCCTAAAAAGTTTAAAAGCTCACCTGCAGCTAATTGAGGAGGAAAGGGACTGCAGAATCGTGCCTGTTGAGCATCTCTGGTGCTGTGCTGGGACCCTCAGGTGAGTTGTGTCTGATCCATGTGAGCCAGGCGTGTGTCACTGTATCATGCACAGAGAACCTTATGCACTGCCTCCAGCACCTGGGTAACTTACACAGCAAGGGGCAGAAATGAGACTTCCTTGCTCTTGGGACCGACCAAAGGGAGCACCCCCGGTAGGGACTCCATGGTTGTAAGACAGACTGCACTAGAGTGGGCAGGCTGGATGGAGGTGGAGGGGCCAGGACAGGGCTGCTCTCTGAGGGGAGTTTCAGGACACAGATCAGGGTGTGGGACCCCGGAAGGGATCTGTGCTCTGAGGCGGGATCAGGAGACAGATCAGGGTGTGGGATCCAGGAGGGGATCTATACTCTGAGAAGAGGATCAGGACACAGATCAGAGTAGGGGATCCAGGACAGGGTCTGTGCTCTGAGATGGGATCAGGACACAGATCAGAGTGTGGGATCCAGGACAGAGTCTGTGCTCTGAGATGAGATCAGGACACAGATCCAGGTGTGGGATCCAGACAGGATCGGTACTCTGAGAAGAGGATCAGGACACAGAACAGACTAGGGGATCCAGGAAGGGATCTGTGCTCTGAGATGGGATCAGGACACAGATCAGGCTGTGGGATCCAGCATGCAGCGAGCCCCTCTTTCCTGCTGGACAGATTCCAAACTCTTCAGTGGTTCTTGGGGCTCCAGCTTCTGGGGATTCTGGTGAGAATGAAGCAATAAGTGCAGGTGGTAAGTCTGCACATGCTGAACATGTTGTGTGTGATGTCTCCCTCCCCTGCCCTCACGCCTGCAGCACTGCGTCCTTGGCCAGCGTGCTCTCCCTGAGCCTCAGTTCCCATCCTGAAATTCCAGGATCCTAGGATTCACCTCACCTGAGAAGGAGACAGAAAGGAGAAAACTCACACAAATGGAAACATCCGAAGAACTGCAATGATCAGGGCGTTTCCCTCCTACAGAAGCTGAAACCTGTCCAGGAGTGAGAGCGTGAAAGTGGGCGAGGCCTGAGAAGAGAACAGGCAGGAGGATGGACCCATTAGAGCAGCTTCCTGTTCACAAAAATGGTTTCCCCCGAGGTCTCTGACCATGGACGCCCTGATCCACTTACTCCAGGGCTGAGCCACCCTCACCTTGTGATGGCCCAGGACCCCCTTCTAAGGAGTGCTGGATGCGGAAGTGACCCCCACTTGCCGACACCCTCTCTCCTCCTCCCCCTCCTTTAGCTGGAATCAAACCTTTCAAAAGACGCCTCCCTCCTGCCTGTATCCAGCCTCGCGCAGCCTCCTTGGGGGCCCTCCCCATGGCATCAGCACAATTAATCCGACTGTTTCAGTTCGTCTGGATTTTTCAAACCACAGGCTGCTCCCTGGTGGTCTGGCTGGGTTGGCGTTAAGACTCTGATGCTCATGGACAGCTCCCCAAAACTGATGTTTGGGGTCTTGGTTTTGTTTCCTTGACCACAGCGCCCAACACGTGACTTCAAGGAATGGCACCTGTCTCTAGTGACAACTGGGCCGTTTTGGAGGGACTTTCATTGAAGCAGTAGGCCTGTGTACAGTTCTTCAAGTCTTTTAGTCTTCAGCGAAAGAAAAGAAAATAGACGAGTGTCGAGCAGCCCTCTTGTGCCGTGGAAGGCCTGCAGAGTGAGAAAGTCAACTAAGCCAAGTTCCTGCCTTCGTGGGTCCTCACTGAGCCCTCTTCACAGGCCATACACAACCTCTGCTGGAGGTCGGGGCGCCAGGTCAGTCCCTGCTCTCCCATCTACCAGAGCCTGCGAACAAGTCACAGGCATACTGGCAATGATATTATTCCCAGGACTGCCAGTAATGCCAGTTTACTGAGCATCTCTATGCCCAGAGCCAAGCTGACCCCTTTACAGCAGAGCTCAACACAGAGCCGGGGCCTGGTCACGTGCAGGCTGCGCTGGGGGCCCGAGGCTCCTGTTTCTAGTGAGGTGTCACACCTTCTCCTGCTGTCACGCCCCTTCCCCCTTCTCCTCCTCCTCAGCTGAGGGCCTGGGGTATCACTTAGGGTTCTCCAGAAAAACAGAGCCAATAGGATGCATGTGTGTGTGTGTGGAGAGAGAGAGACAGCAAGATTTAATTTAAGGGATCGGCTCGTGCAGTTGTGGAGGCCGGCAAAGCCCCAGAGAAGAGCTGATGCGGCAGCTCAGGACTGAAGGCAGCTTGCAGGCAGGCTCCTCCTTTTGGGGGGAGGGCAGGTGGGGGCACCTCAGTCTTTACTCTCAAGGCTTTTGACTGACTTGATGAGGCCCAACCACTATGGAGGGCAATCAGTTTTACTCAAATCCACTGCTTTTAATATTAATCTCACCTAAAAAATATCTTCACAGCACATCTGGATTTGTGTTTGACCACACATCTGGGCACCCTGGCCTAGCCAGGCTGACACATCCGATGAACCAGCAACCCTGCCGCTTTTTTTCCCAGTGTCAGCGCATTCCGAAGAGCTCCACCTGGCCTTCCGCACGCCGCCCCATTCCTCTCCCGTCACTGTCCCTTGGCCCTGCCCAGCCTCTCTCCTTTGAGCCACAAACTATAATTTCTCCATCTTTAAGATGGGACCCACGTCCCCTCGGTCACTCCAATGCCACTTTTCTCCGCCCAGCTGTCTCCACTCCCTCATTCCCTTCTCCCTCCAAACTGTGCTCCAGCCTGCAGCCTCACCCCTCTGCTGGGCCCAGAGGCCTTGCTGCCAAATCCTACAGGCAGTGTTGTTGTCGCCTTATTTCCTCATCTAATCTGACCTCAAGGCAGCACTGACCACCGCCAACCACCCCTCTTTCTTGAAAGGCCTGTCTGAGGTTCAGAGGCTGCTCCGCGCCTTCCTCCTTCCTCTCCTTCCTCCCCCTCCACATCCCCCACCTTCCCAGTCTCCAGGGCTGGCTCTGCCCTGCCCGCCCTGCCCTGCCCTCTCCGAGGCTGCTTCTCTGCCAGCACTTGCACTGGTCCATCCCAGGGTCTCAACTCCTGCTCTGGCTGTCACTCCAGATTCCCCCCTCAACCTTAGCTTTCTCCCGAGGGTCATCACTACTGGTTGTTTGCGCTTCTCAGACCCATCAAGTCCAAAACCCACCATCGTCTCCAACTCCTTCCCAGAAACGTTCTTCGGTCTCCTAGCGCCTCCAGTAGCCCAATTTGGGCCAAACCAGAGCCGTTCCTCACTCCTCTAACACCAGGCAGCACAACACAGGGAAATCTCTGCCACTGCCAGCCGGCTGCCTCCACTGGCCACCTGTGGAAACATCTCCTGCCTGCATTTCTGTGGCTGCTTCTAACCAGGCCTCTGCCTCTTTGCTCTCGCACCAGCCTGTCTGCACAGGGGTCACGTAAGTGAGCATAAGTGAGGCCATCTTGTGACGCTAAACGGCCCCAGCCCCTCCTCTGTGTGGCTACTCGCTGTTCTGCATTTACTCTAAAATAAGTCACATGCTCTCCTGATTTATGGACTCCGCTTACGCATGTGCCGTCCCGATAGCTTGATAAATTAAAACTTTGTTGTATGAGTTCCCCTCCAGGAACAGGCTGACCACAGGTGGGAAACACACCTGCAAGGCATCCATCACAGCTGATGGAAGAGAACAGTGAAAGACCCCGAGTGTACCACACCTGAAGGAAACCCCCTCTTACTGCCCATTTTCCCTCTATAATGGCCTGTAATTCTTGAAGATGGTTTTTTGAGATGTCTGCCATCTCCCCAACTATGCCAGCTAATCAAATTAAAACTTCCTTTCTCAACCTCTAATTTGTGATTTATTGCCTTGATTGCAGTAAGCCCATTGCTCGGTGACAGTCACAGCAAAATGAAAGTGCCCTCAGGCCCCTATTGAAACCCTGAGCGTAGACCCTGCCATCACTCGGTTCCAGCCTCCCTGGTCTGGCGCTGTTCTTGCGCTGTGGGGGCAAGCTCCTGCTCCACAGCCTTTGCACACACTGTTCCCTCTGCTGGAATACTCTTCCAGCATGCCCCTGTTCGGCTTGCCCTCCACCTGCTCTCTGTTCAAACGTCGCCTCCTGGCGGAGGGCCAGCCCGCCTGCCCTGAAGGTGCCTCCTTTCCCTGCTTCATCGTACTCTTGCTCAGCACCCATCACCAATGACATTGTACTGCAGGGTCGTTTATTACCCAACCCCCCTTCCAGCTTCCAGAGCCAGGCTCTTTGTCTACCAAGGTCTCCCCAAGGGTGGGGGGATTGCTGGCATGCAGCAAGCATTTCACAGAAATATACACAACCAGCAACTGTAACATAAAGGGAATGAACACAGAGTGTGAGAGGGCTGATGGTCCATCCGTGAGCAGGGTTCACAGACAGGGCCGTCCTTCTGGTGCTTTGCCCGTGGCATCTGACACCATCCCGTTTGGTGACGAGGAAAGCACCGTCCCATGGCCTCCAGTGCCCCCCAGCTCTCTGACACCCCTCTCCCCCAGCTCATCTGCCACCTCGCTGTGCCCCCACCCCCAGGGTCTTCGCCGTGGCCTCCACCTGGGACCGTGTTCTCACCCAGGCTTGAGCTTGACTAACTCCCTCAGTGGGGCTTGCCCTGCCCTCTTCTTTAATACTGTGGCCATCGCTAGCCTGTCCCCAGCACCCATTACCTGATGCTCCTTCCCTTTCCTTCTTTTTTTTTTTTTTCCAAAGATTGGTACCTGAGCTAACATCTGTTGCCATCTTCACTTCTTTTTCTTCTTCTTCTCCCCAAGGCCCCCCAGTACATAGTTGTGCATTCTAGTTGTAGGTCCCTCTGGTTGTGCTATGTGGGACGCCACCTCAGCATGGCTTGGTGAGCAGTGCTAGGTCCACGCCCAGGATGCGAACCATGGAAACCCTGGGCCGCCAAAGCAGAGCACACGAACTTAACCTCTCAGTCACGGGGCTGGCCCTGCTTTTCCTTCTCTTCCGCAGTATGGACCAAACACAGCAGATCATGTCATTGATTCTGCTAACTACTTGCTCCACTTCCTTCCCCTGTGCTGGCCAGTTGTGTTCACAGGTGTACCCTGTGAACCTGGAACGATGCCAAGCACCACAAGTACCTAGCAGGTCTCAGTGTGTTTGTTGAATGACTGAATAATCCCACACATCCACCCAGTGAGATAGACAGCATCATCTGTTTTCTCGATGAGGAAACTGAGGCACAGGAAGGTCAGGTAGACTGAGATCACCTGGTCAGGAACTGATGGGGCAGGATCTAACCCAGGGGCTCTGCCTCAACCCACGTGGTGAGCAAAATGCAGAAGAACCCCAAGTCAGAGCATATTCTGAGTCGAGTTGTGCAGGGCCTCGTCAGCCCCGGGGAAGGAACTGGCCTGGGTGGTGGGGATTGCCCTGACACTGCGTGCTAGCATCTCTGGGCTCTGCATTTTACCTGCTTTAGGGTTGCACTGGGCGGAGCCATGAGCCCTGATTCCCAACAGTGAGCAGGAGGTGAACCAGCCTGTCGCGGACTGGGCGCTCCGCAGTCTGGACCCCAGAGCAGTCCACAGGCCGGGTGTTTACTAAAGCACCTAAGCCAGACCTGCCATGGCTGATCCTGGAGGCCGGGGTGCCTGGCTGGTGCTGGGAGGGACCTGCACGAAGCCAGGGAGCACAGAGCCCAGTGAAGTCCAAGGCGGCAGCTCCCACTGGCTCCACGGGCTCCAGGGAAGATCTCCTGCTTCTGTCGGACTCTCCTTTGAGCGAACAACACTGTTCACAGAGTTCCCGCCTTGCTTTGGTCTGTCTGCTGCTAAGGTCACAGAGTCCAGGTCTCTGGCAAACCGTGGCTCCCAGTGACTCGCCTAGTCAGGAGTGATTGTCCGAAATCTAGAGGAGGGAGCAGGAGGCCCCCGCGCCCCGGGAATGAGGAGAGCAGCACAGCTGAGGGATCCTGTTCCTCAGTCACCCACCTTCTCCCCCAGGCCACTTTCTTTGGGGGACCTGGTTTTGTTCCGCTCCCCCTTGAAGGGTCTGAAGGAAACAAGAGGTATCTGCAGTCGGCTGTCGCTCTCTGCCGCCTCTTCCGTGGGAGGGTCCGACCTCAGGGCGCGGCAGATGGACGGGGAGGGCTGGTGGGACTCAGACCCGCTCAGGCGCGGCGCTTTCTCCCCAGCTCCGGAACCTGGATGGAGGATGCAGGAAGGCCCCGAGGACCCCTCTGAGCCTTTGGGCTGCGTTCAGCTTAGGGTAGCGGCAAGTAGCCTTGTCTGAAGGTCTGGAGGCCCTAATTCCTGCTTGCCCCTCGCTGCCACTTGACCACCTCTCTCCGCCTCAGCGCGAACAGCCACATCCTTCGCTTCAGCGAGCGACGAGCTCCTGACCCGACTCGGGGCCCGATCACCGCAGCCTCTTAGTGCGCTCCGGAGGGCCACGCGGGGGGCGGCCTTTCTTAACCCAACCTGCGCAAAGTGGCTCCCCCCCCGCCCCCGAGGAAAGCGCAGGCTGCCACCATGGGCATCTCACGGAGGACGAGGCGGGGAGGGGTCTGCGCTCCTCCGGGCCTGCTCAGCGGCCGCGGGCCGGGCGTAGAGGAGCGGGCTGGGCTGCAGGAGGGCTGGGCCTGCCCGGGCGCGGGCCGGTGGTCACGGGCGGATTCCGAGGGCGGCAGCCCAGGGCGCGCGGGAGCCTCCTCTCCGCCCCCTCCCAATTCCAGCGTCCAGCCGCCGTCCCGGATCGGCCTTCCGGACGTCCCCAGGCTCCCGGAGGGCGGAGGGGAGGACAGCCGAGAGAGAAGCTCCCCACTGAGCTGCCCGCCGCGCCTCCCACGCCCCGGCCGGGAGCCCCCTGGGCGCGCGTCTCCCGCGCCGGCCCACAAAGCCCCCGGCCCTGCGCAGAGGGGGCGCGCGCGGAGCCGGGCGGGGCGGGGCGCGCGGGCCCGGCCGGGCCGGGGGTGTCGGATGTCACCCCGCGCACACCTCGGCCGGGGGGCGGGGGAGCAAACCACTGAGATGCGGAGACCTCCCCGGTCCTAGAGCGGAGCAGGAAGTGTCCCAGGGGAGGGAGCGGAGGGCTCCGGCCTTTCCTTCCCTCCGCGTCCGGCGGGCTCCGCGGCGGCCAGGCCTGCGCGGCCCGCCAACGGGGACGCGCCGCGGGGGTGAGTGCGGCCCGCGCGCCCGGCCCCCGCCCCACCTCCCCGCGCCCCGCGCCCCGGCCCCGCGCCCATCCCCGGCCCCGCGCGCCCCCGGCCCTGCGCCCATCCCCGGCCCCGCGCGCCCCGCTCCCCCATCCCCGGCCCCGCGGGCGCCGCCTCCCCTCCCGGAGCCGAGCGCGGCGGTCTGCGGGCGAGGAGAGGCAACGCCGATGCTGTTTCCCAGGCGCCTCCATTTGCTCCCGCTTCCTCCCTCCCAAGCGGAGCTGGGTTTTCCGGATGAGCAGGAGACGGGGCTCGGCTAGCCAGGCGCGGCGTCGGCCCTGCGGAGGACCGCCTCGGGGAGGACGCCCGGGAGAGCGGGCTGAAGGATGAGCAGCGGCCGCCGTGGACTTCCGCCGCCGCACGAGGGACCTGAGTTAGACGCCGGGAAGGAGTTGCGGGCTGGGAGGTGAGGAGCCGGCGCCGGCGAACCTGGAGGCGTGGGGGTGCGGGTGTGGTGGGGAAGCGGGAGGGCGGGAGCGAGGGAAGGCTGCCCCTCTCCCCGGCCTGCTGTGCCCTCCGCTTTCCTTTCTGCTGGCCCGGCGCCGTCCCTCCTCCCAGAGCTGCCCTGAGACGCCCCGCCCCCTGCGGGAAGCCTGGGGACTAACGTTAGTTCATTCATCAGGCGTCACTCCCGAGCCTGCCACGGGCCAGGTGCCAGGGCGACAAAGAGGAGCGGGCCGTCTGGTGAGGGGTGGTCCGCAGAGCCCAGAGCGGGGTGCCCGCCAGCGGACTCTGAGTGCTGAGGGTGGGGCCGGCCCCAGCTTGGGCGCAGAGCTGAGGAGCCAGAGGCCCTGCAGGTGTGTGGTGGCTGAGCTCTGGGAAGGTGGGAGGTCGGGTTCCAGAGGCCTGGAGGAAACCCGGCTGTGGAGTGGCTGTAATGTGTCCCCTCAGGCACCGAAGAGCCTCTGATGCCAGTCTGTGTTTGCTTTTCCGTGGGAAGCAAGGAGATCCAGAGACCTGGGTTTTTCTGAATGCCATTCAGTGGCCTCGTTGCTCTTCTGGGCTCACTTGTCTTCCTGTGGAATGGGAGTGAGGCCTGTATTCCCTTGGGGGCCCCTGAGCTGTTGGAGGTTAAGGTGCTGGGTGGTGGGGAGCTTCATACAGACCTGGTGTGGAGGAGATGTGAGGCGGGTAACCTGCCCGGGGAATCCCAGAGGCCAGAGGGTGGGGGAGGGGATGGTGTGACCCTGTTTGCCCTTCACTTTCCCTCAGTCCCACCGTCTGGACAGTGGCCACCACTCTCTGGTGTCACCCTGTGTGTTCACTGGGCAGGTGGAGGTGCAGGTGAGGGGCCTGTGCTGGGAGGGCCCCACCTCCGTCCTGCCTGAGGGAGGGCTGTGAGCTTCATTGTGGTTTGATGATGATAAGGGTGGGGAGGGTGGAGGCAAGGTTGAAGGTCAAGGCATCTTTAAATATATGCTAAAGCTTGCTATTCAGGCTCTGGAGGGAGTTGGGTGGAGGCTGATCTGAAAGCTGATGTTATTCACTCTAGTAAACTCAGGATGTGGCTGCCTCTAACTCTTCCCCATCTCTTGTCTGGGTGTCTTCTCCGCTGTCTGCTTTGTCCGCTGCACCCCAGTGCAGACTCCACTGGGCGGGGCGGACCGGCTTTGTGTGCGGCCAGCTGGTCCAGCTCTGGTCGGCCTGCCACCAGCAGTGTGCATTTCCCAGCCTGGGTCTGCTTGGAAGGCTCTCCTGGTGTATACCTGTTTTTGTCCTTCCAGCTCATTCTGTAAAGGTCTCCAGGGCAAGCACGGTGACTTTGGCTCCGAAGGCTCAAGATAGCGGCTTGCTCGGATCGTCTGTCTCAGGTCCTCTCCAGGAGGACCTGGCCACCAAAGGTACCACGAGGTGTTAATTACGTCTCTCCTGTATGCCAGCCTGTCAGTCTCCTGCGATGCTTGAGACGCCAGGGTCACGTGGAAATGCCACTGCTTTTCTGCTTTGTTCGTCGGTCCCCTGGTTAGGGGAATCACGTAATGATGCTTTTGGGGTTGGAGTCCTTCCCTGTGTGTAAGGACCAGCCACACTGGCACTCCTCACACGTCCCAGGGCTTCTCCGAAGGGCTGGTCTTTATGGGCTTTGTCACCTTCCCCATAACCACCCCTCAAAAAACTACTGCAGGAGACCAGAACATTGAAGCCAGCGATTTCTGTTTGGAAATAGGCTCGTCTTCTGCTGCTGACCCCCATCAAATCCCATCATGCCCACAGCCCTGTGCCCCCGAGTCTTGGCTCCGAAGGAAAGTGAGGAGCCCAGGAAGATGAGGAGCCCACCAGGAGAGAACCCTAGCCCCCAGGGGGAGCTGCCCAGCCCTGAGTCCTCCCGCCGCCTCTTCCGCCGTTTCCGCTACCAGGAGGCGGCCGGCCCCCGGGAGGCCCTGCACCGCCTCTGGGACCTGTGTCGGGGCTGGCTGCGGCCAGAGAGGCACACCAAGGAGCAGATCCTGGAGCTGCTGGTGCTGGAGCAATTCCTGGCCATCCTGCCCCGGGAGATCCAGGGTTGGGTGCGGGCCCAGGAGCCGGAGAGTGGCGATCAGGCTGTGGCTGCTGTGGAGGCGCTGGAGCGGGAGCCCGGGAGACCCTGGCAGTGGGTGAGCAGAGGGGGCGGGCTGGGCTGGGTGGGAGAGGGAGAGCAGGTGTGCAGAGGGCAGCCACTCTGTGCTTGGTGCTTTGGCGGACTCACGTTCCCTGGCCAGGGAGGGTTCTGTCCAGAGCTACGTGCTTTGGTTAGGTGCACACTAGAATTGGGTTTCCCAAGAAAGCAGATTCTGTTCCCTAAAGGCCCTAATTTGGGGCATAGTTATGTCATCCCCTTTTGCAGCCCCATTAAAGGCCCAGGCTGAGCCTCCAGCGGTCAGCCATGGAGTTGATGGTCAACAGGCCCAGAAAGGGGTGTTGCCCATCCTGGCACAGCCACTGGCCCTCCCCTGTCCAGGGACCTCTCCGCCGAGCCCTGAAAAGCTCTCTCGGATTGCAGCTCAAGCACTGTGAAGACCCTGTGGTGATTGACGATGGGGAGGGCCCTCCGGACCAGGAGCAGGAGCGGCTGCCACCGGAGCCCCAGAGTGACCTTGCAAAGAGCCAGGATGCCCAGCCCGTGGCCCTGGCTCAAGGCCCTGGGCTCCCAAACAGACTACCAGGCCAGCTCAGCGGGGACCAAGGTAGGGGGTAGGGGCCAGGGTGTGTGTGTGGGGTGGGGGTCGCGGGGCGTTTGTGCCCACCTTGGGTGCTTAGCAGTGGCTCTTGGCGTTTAGAGTTCTCTCCTGTCCCCTGAGGAGCCGTGAGCCATTTTCAGGGTCTAGCCCTTCCCTAGAGCGATTTGATCCGAATCTCGTGAGAGTGTCCTTGGTGGTGCCAGGTCCACCTGGGGCGCCTCTGCTGTAGTTGGGTGTCTGAAGCTGCACCGTCTCAGCTCTCTGAGGCACATTTCTGGGCTTTGTTGGTTTGGGGGCAGCTGGGCATCATTGCTGTCCCAGTAGGACTTTGTGCGGAGCTGAGCGTGGCCACGTCCTCTTGTCCGTCTGAACGTCTTTCCCCAACTAAACTCCTCCTGCTCCAGGATTGTTACAATCCTGAAAGGAAATAAAAAATGCTCCGGAGGGAACAGAGTGATGTGTTTAGGGATTGGGGCCTGAATGTCACCTGGACACGTCTGACTATCTGTACGGAATGCGCTGGTGGCTACAGGCAGGTGGCTTTAAAGGCACGTCTTGCTGTGACCGGGCATGCCTCTAATCCTCCAAGACTGTTTCCTGGCCCGTGCAGTGGAGATAACCATCACCCTTCCTGGGTTTCTTGAGGGTTAAAGGATTACACCCATACCGTGCTGAGCAGGGGCCTGACTGTCTGTGGTGCTTAGTTGAAGGGGTCATTGTGGGAAGTTGTGGTGCCCACAGGTTGAAGGAGTGGCCTTTACAGTGTGAGGTCAGTGCGGGTGGACTTGCCACGTTGTGCTGTACTTACAGAGGAAAAGGAGAGCATGAGGAGGCCAGGAGTGCATTCTTGTGATGCGCAGAAGTTGTCCTGGGCATTGTAATAAGCTTTTCAGTTTAAAATAAAAACGCATACAGTTGGCCCTCTGTATCTGCTGGTTCCCCATCCACGGATTCAACCAACTGTGGATCGAAAGTCCTACAATGGTTGCGTCAGTACTGGACACGTACAGAGTTTTTTTCTTGTCGTTATTCCCTAAACAATACAGTGTAACAACTATTTACATAGCATTTCCATTGTGTTAGGTATTATAAATAATCTGGAGATGATTTAAAGTATGTGGGAGGATGTGCATAGGTTATATGTAAATACTGTACCATTTTATATAAGGAACTTGAGCACCCATAGATTTGGGTATGCCAGGGGGATCTTGGAACCAGTCCCCTGTGGATACTGAGGGACGACTGTGTTAAATTTCTCTGTGTGTGATACTATACCGACTTCCATACAAATCAAATAAACTCTTCAGCCTCTCCTTGGTTAAAAGTCAAGACAGGTGTGATAGTCAGCTAGGGCCAAATGCTACAGCCAGAGATAAACAGCACATGTTTATCTCTCACTGTCTGGAGGCTGGAAGTCAGAGGCCCAGGGGAGGGCAGGGCTGCTTCCTCCTGAGGCCTCTCCTGGGTGTGGAGACAACCATCTTCTCCCTGTGTCCTCACATGGTCATCCCTCTATGTGTGTCTGTGTCCTCATCTCCTCTCTTATAA